ATGGGTGGATGAATGAATGGATGGGGGAAAGGATGGCAGAATGGATTGATGGGTGGGTGGACGAATGGATGGGTGGAAGGATGGCAGGGTGGATGAATGAATCGGTGGGAGGAAGGATGGCAGGCTGGATGAATGRATGGGTGGATGAATGAATGGATGGGTGGATGAATGAATGGATGGGTGGAAGGATGGCAGGCTGGATGAATGAATGGATGGGTGGATGAATGGATGAATGTGTGGTTTGGGATGGAGACTCGGCTCGACTCAATGCAGGGCTAAGTGTCATTCCCTAGAGTGTATGGTTACGCATGAGAAGACACATGAATATAAAAGTACGTTACAACTTACAACTTGTCAAGAGAATAACACGTGATCTAAAATGGAAAAATAGCTAAAAGTTTCTATTGCAGTTCTCATTTGCTTTACTGTAAACCCGTTATTGCTCGTCTAATGTTGTAAATATATATAGCTTACAGACAGAATGGACGCTCACGGTAATTCATGCAGGATTATATGCTTTAATGCACACAAAACATGCCTCTTGAAACATCTATTCCAGCCCTCATGCATTATTCTAAAATTATTAAAGATCCATGTTAAAAATCAAAATGAAATGAAATCTAGCTATAAACTTTCCTTCGGATTCCATATTTTTACTGTAGAGTTGTGAAACATTCCACATGGATTCCCGCCATAATAATTTGTCTCGCATAAGCAAGTACAAAAAACAATTCTGCTCGCTAGACCATGTCTTGAACCCTTACACTTGCCTTTTCAAACTCGTGACTCGTGCATAATAATATTTACTGTAGCACTGAATTTACGTCTGTAGATTATTCGGTAAATTTGATTGCTAAAACGTTAATAATCGACCAAATGAGCAGCAGAACTATAAGAACTGTTCAGCTCAAACAAATTCATCATGAAGGAACAAGTAAGTATATAAATCGATACGAAATCGTTTGAAGTTCATAAACTTATGGCACAACAAATGAAGGACAATATAATTTAGTATTCAGTCAGATTTACTCTAAATTATTTTGTGATTCTTGTGATTAGCAAGTATATTGAAATATTTCACACATTGATTGATTGTATATGAAACTAGAATTTTTTTTTTCACAAGGAATTATTGTTAAAATGTTAGGATTGCTTTTCACAATTTTGCCCTACGAATTAGACAATTTTTCGCCGTCCAATATTCAACTTGGATCGTCTAAAATTCTAGCAATTTCTTAACGTTATCTTGTGTATATAAAATATTTGTATATATATTATATATGATATACTATATATATGTCATTGATTGGATCGGAAATCTACTGTTTAGTTGTTTTGCATGGCTTTATCACTGCAGGTCATCGCTCAACAACTCAAAAACCATTAGTTACTAGTTCGTTGAAAAATAATAAGTAATTGCAATATTTAGTAAATTTGATATTTTTACACTATAGAAAATAATTATTTCATTAGAATTTTTGGCTTGTCCGACCCTATTTCTTCCAATCGGACTGTAGATTAGATTGATCGTGGTTACCTAGCTTTCGCCAATTTTCAAAATTTGGGTAAAAACGTTATGTATGTTACAGCGTTGTGTTCATGGCTATAAATCGATTTGATGATAACATCTCTGCATCATACATAAAGTACTAACACACCATTACTCTTGGTAAGTTGATAGCGAAGTGGCCGCCATACCTCACCTAGAGTATACTTTGATTTATTCTAATTATTAGACTTCAAAATCAGCGACATATTGAGAAGTCATGTAGATGACAATTTCCATTCGTTCTTATCATTTCTTAGTCTCAGTGAATGAAAAACCCGGATAGTATTAGGATGATATATTCACCTAATAATTATTAATAGTACTTGTATATCATTAAACGAATAATTGTCTTCAGCCCTCGGGGCCGGGTGTATGGAGTGGTTATTTTAGTTCCGCAAGAGTAGTATTTCTACTTATGATATCGAGTAAAGAGCATATATAATAGTTATATTAACCGCAGTCATTCCCTGCTAGCAGAGTCTCTCTTCTCTTTCAACCGAAACAAAAGGAAAATAGGCTCTGCTAGCAGGGAACCGAAGTCAAAACAAATATAACAAAAAAGCATGCAGAACTAGAAAGAAAAGGCATAGAGAAAAAAGAAAGGGAAAATTAAAATAGAGAGATAAAGAAACAAATAGAGAAAAAAGACGAAACAAAATAAGAGGCGAAATAAAGGAAGAAATGAAAAATGAAATGAAGGGGTGAAGAAAGGAAAGAAGGATGGAAGGAAGGGAGGGGAAAAGGAAGAAAGGAAGAAGGGGACTGAATGGCAAAAAAAAAGTAAATAAAAAAAAAAACCAAATTAAAAAAGAAATAATTTGAAAATTAAATTTACAGATTAAAAAAGTGGATAATCTTTTTGGCCGAATTTGTTATGTTTTCCTCTAATAGGTCTTAATTATTAATCGTTGATTTTTTCCCCTTCGTATTGTCATAGTAACAGAGCGAGAAAATGTTCACAAGAAGGTATTCACCAAATGGTTGAATTCTCACTTATCAAAGGTAAGAATATAGCAGTAAACATTACGTACTTAAAGATGGCGACTTGCGCAAGGAAACTGCTTGCATGAAACCCTTCATAGTAGTTACTGTAGCCTAGACTCCTTTATGATACTAGCCATTCGCTTTCGCTGTATAGTAAGCAAAAGGCCGTGTTTGTACATGTACAGATTGGGATTTAGTGCAAGGCCGGGTATATATATAATATTATGTTATAAAGGTCAATATCGAAGGGACATCAAGGAATAACCACTGAGAACGTAAATAAAGAAGCCCTGGCAGTGACCATCGCCAGTGCCTACAATTCATACTAACAATCTCTCATGCTTGTAAATTGCATGAAAGCAACCTGTCATTCACAAAGCGCTATTGATTATATCAAAATAGAAAGGGCGCTTTTTAAATCATAAATCATCATCGTCATCATCATCGTCATCATCGAGGCATTTCTAGGCAGACATGAGTGTACACGGAAGAGCGGATCCTTAATGCGTTGAGTCTTTCGCGGATCGCCCATTGGCTTAGTCTAGTGAACGCAACTGACCGCGAAGGAATTGAAAGGATGTAGTGAGAAGCCCTCGACTGTTTTGATTGGCTCAGTCATGGACCAAAGCGCACTGTGATTGGTTAAAAATGCATGTGACTAATATATGCGTAGCTTTTGATTGGCTAATTTTATATTGTCGACAGGCCAACCCACCAATCAGAGTGGTCAATTTGATTAGCGATCTTTCAAATGGCAGTGTATGGCTTAATCTGTTTGATGTACTCCTCAACACCAAAACGGTAGGTTTATTCAGAATTCATGGAGCCCTTACCATTTTAACCAATCCATCCAGTTGGAAATTTGTTTGCTAAGAAAAGAGCTGAAAACTTTGAATTCCGACAAATGGTTCACGCGTCTACCGGAAGAACCGGAAAGAGCGGGAAAAGTGGATTACCTTAATCGGAAGACCGAGTTTTCCTGAACTTTCCGATCGGAATGACACATATCATTAGTTTTTCCAACCGGAATTTCCGGTTTTTACGGTTGAATGAAAAGTGCCCATATGGTTTTCACTTTGATAATAATGAATCATTGGTGGTGTAGTGGTAGTGCTTGCACTCACTTCTCAAGCTCAGGATCTCGAGTCTTTAGATCAGCCCAGAGGATGTTTCGTTAGAGCAAATCAGAGTATATAATGGCTTTGTTAATCTGCGTTTAATTTTGAGTAATATCTTCTATTACAGGAGAAAGAAAGTGGCCGTTCACACTTGCATAACATCGCCAACCTACAAAAAGCTTTGGAAATTTGCCAGAAAAGCGAGGTATTGATGTTGATTTGAAAAGCACGCATGCGCACTTGATGACATCTCACACAAATACGTTCTAAAAGTGTACGGACGAAGTTAAAGCCCAGATATCTGTACTCTGCTGTTGTTGCGCGCAACGACATTGTACTGTGTGTCCAACACTGCGATGGTTGCGCAAGACGTTGTTGAAGTAGAATCGAGATCTATACATGTGTGATGACGTTGCACACAACAAGTTTAATCGTGTAAACACTACTAACGTTGCTGGAAATGGCGCGATTTTTTCAGCCAATGAAATGCGGTTAGTTTCTGTATACAATCCACCCGAATTGGCTAGGCGTTCGTTAAAGGGGTAGTTACTAAAAATGTTGACACGAGCTACGTCACACGTATTCTAAGAGTTACACCAAGCTCTGACTTAGACAGAAATGCCTAAAGGTTGTTTGAGAGTTTGATATTAAATTATTTAAAAGTGTGTCCGATAATTTTCAATTAAAATCTCGGGAAAGGCTAGATACCAAAAGGACTTTGTATATATGTAACATTATTTTTATTATGGAGTGAATGTAACTGCGCGGGCTGTTGGACTCGCTATGGGTGGCGGGTGCTGTTCAGATGAGGTGAATGCCTATTGACACGGTGTTCACCGCATTTGTCTGTGTTTTCTGCCCCTGGCGGGTCTAATAGCTTGCGCAGTTTGTGTATGTGAATGTGTGTGAGAATTATATATAAGATATTTAAAGTTATCTAAGTTAATTAGCTATATTTTTACAGATTCATACTTATATTATATTTTATTTATTTAATTTATTTTATGCACGACCCCACAAGCTTTTAGCTTTAAATTTTATCGTGTTTAAATAAAGGTATTCTATTCTATTCTATTCTATACCATCTACATATAAGCCCCTCCGCTGACTAGAAATCCAATTGAAAACCTGGGGGTCAAAAACAAACAAAAAAATTAACAATCAATCTTCAATTAGCCTGCGTAGCCAGCCCAACCAAAAGAGGGCCGGCTACGCAGGCTAATCTTCATTAGAAGGGCTTTCTTTGAAAATTGGCCGAGCTTGCATTTCAGTGCATTGTGGGTATTTTTATTTGACGAAATAGACGCCTTCTCACAGGAAGCCCAAGCAATGTACTTGTAACTYATTACGAAGGAATGTATGTGTTATTGTATATTGTTAGAATATCTAAAGAAATGCTTGTAGTTAGCTTACCATTTTTTGCGTGTGTGTTCTTGGTGCTATTACAATCCTTCGTAACGAGTACGAGTACATTGCCTGGGCTTCCTGTGGTCTTCTTGGAATCTTAGAAACCCCCACCCCTCCCCCCAAATAAAAAACGTACCTTCCCTTTCACCAAAATGGCCGCCATGTTTATGTCTTTTGACTCTCTTTGCAATGCTTGCAACCCATCGATTGTCATTAACGCGTGCATTCGTATAAATTGCAGATTAAAATCGAGGGTATCAATGCATCGGACATCGCCGAGGGAAATAGTAAAACAATTCTTGGCCTTCTATGGAATATTATCGTGCACTTTCAGGTGAGCTTATTAACTAGTTCTCTTTGAACCATTTCAGACCACGTTCTTTGTTTAATGGTTGTGCATGAAAAGATATATGAATATGAATACTACTCAAGACCATGCGTCCGCTTCCTTTTGTTTAACGGTTGTGCACGAGAAGACACATGAATATTGATACGACTAAATCAAAGACTCTTATTCTCAAGAGAATGACACGAGGTCTGAAATGAAAAACATTACCCCAAAGCTAAAAGGATTTAGTAGAGTGCTCACACTAAATCCGTGAAACAAATACTAATTTTTAGCACTAAATAGTGATAAATAAACAATAGAAAACAAAGGATTCTGTAATAAATAGTACTAATTAGTACTATTTAATGTTCACGGGTTTAGTGCGTGCACTCTATCTTATTTTAAAGATTTCTCAGTGCATTGAAATGTGGTGAACAATAGTTGTTTGCTGTGTTTTTAGATGAAGGGTACATTAAAAGCAGACTCCAAGAACTACAGCATCGAGAAGAATTTACAATCCTGGTGTCTTACACAGCTAGATAAGTAAGAATTAATAGCTAAACATATAGAATATTTCTGCAACTATCCATCCATCCATCTATCTATCCATCCATCCCTCCATTCATCCATCCATCC